CCTGAACAGATTCTTCCATTTCATTCTGCAGCTGTGCAAAGTCACTTTCTAATTTCTTCTTGCTGTTGAGCAGGCTGGTGTTCTAGAAAGACAAATATTTGGGGCATTATTTTGCATTTCATGAAACAAGGTAACATTTATTGCTAAATCTAATAGTATTTAGTAGTAAATCCTACCTGTGAGTGCAGGAGCTGCAGACGTTCACTGGCATCCAGAAGTTCCTGTTCTGCCATCTTGCGAGATCTCTCTGTCTGTTCCAGAGCAGACCTGGACTCCTCAATCTCAGCTTGTTGCAAATTGCTTCTGCGTTCAATCACAGCAACCTGTTCCTTCAGGTCTTCCTGTCCCCTCACAGCATCATCTAACTGTAGCTGGGCATCCTAGATGACAAAGAGTGTGTGGTCGTAAACCAACAATCTGACTACTTTCAATAGAATGAGACTAGAGTTTTGTATTTTGTATGATTATGTGTGCTTTTTAGAGATACCTTCAGTTGTCCTTGCACATTTCTGAGCTGTTTCTGTGCCTCTGCAGCCTGGCGGTTGGCATGGCTAAGTTGGATCTCAAGTTCATTCAGATCTCCTTCCATCTTCTTTTTCAGTCTCAGAGCATCATTTCTGCTCCTGATTTCAGAGTCCAAAGTGCTCTGCATGGTGTCGATGGCTCTCTGGCTATTTTCTCTTCAGCTGTTCAATCTCCTCATCCTTCTCTGCAATCTTCCTGTCCACCTCAGATTTGATCTGGTTCAGCTCAAGCTGAACACGGAGGATCTTGGCTTCTTCATGTTCCAATGATCCCTTTAAAAAAAGAACACAATATGGAAAATTAAGTTGTTAGACTGGCATTCAGAAACGTAATGCCAAAATTAAGCCAATCCATAGTATCGTGTGTATTTTTCTAGTTATAGTTGTGTACCTCAGCTTCCTCCAGAGCAGCCTTGAAGGTCACTCTTTTCCTGTTCAACCTGCTTCTTGGCCTTCTCAAGTTCATTAATGGACTTTCCAGTCTCACCAATCTGTTCAGTCAGATCTGAGATCTCCTCTGATGAAGAGATGGTCAAACAAATGTTACACTTAATTATTTGGTGCACATGCCAGTCTCATCAATTAAAAATGATAGAAATAAGTAAGCAAATTTTAAATATATGAAATCACATACGTTGCAAGTTCTTGTTCTCGCGTTTCAGGGTTTCAGCTTGTTCCAGAGCCTCTTCATAAGCATTCTTCATCTTGAAAGATCTCAGTGCTCAGGCTACGAGCCTCTTTCTGAGCAGCCTCTAGTTCAGCCTGACCCTCCTCAAACTTCTGCTTCCATTCTGCCAGGACCTGAAATCATGGACATGATTAGAATATGTATTCAAATAATTGAAAGTTATTACAGAGGTATAATTTCTGCATGTTGACCTTGTCAAAGTTCCTCTGTTTCTTGTCAAGAGAAGCTGCTGCACTATTTGCTCTCTCCACATCAACCATGAGGTCTTCAACCTCAGACTGCAACCTCTGCTTGGTCTTTTCCAGGGACGCACACTTAGAGTTCACAGCCTCAACCTGCTCCTCAGCATCCTGCAAACGCTGAACCAGCTTTTTCCTGTAAAGAAAATAAAAAACAATATTATGTAATCGTACAATAATTTCAACTTACTTGTATTTTTTGAATGGCATATTATAAAATCAATTAAAATATTGAAATTTAAACAAATCTTCTGAGTTTCAACTTACTTGGCCTCCTCCAGCTCCTCTGTGCGCTGAATGGCATCCGTTTCATATTTGGTCCTCCACTGAGCAACTTCACCATTAGCCTTGGACAGAGAACGTTGAAGCTCAGCCTTGGCTTCCTGTTCCTCCTCATATTGCTCACGGAGCAAGTCATTGTCATGGCGAGCAGACTGCAGGGCATGGGCAAGGGCATTCTTGGCCTGGAATATGCAGATGAGAATTGTGAAGCACCCGCTATACTGTGAAATCATGCATGTAATGGTATTGTAAGAAATTTATTATTTCAGTAGTTTTCATTTAACTTAAAGGTATTACAGCGTTACCTTTGTTTCCTCTTCAAGCTGTCTCTTGAGTTCCTCAACCTGCTGAGTGAAACCCTGTTTGCCTCTGGAAAGCTGAGAAATCAGAGATTCCTTCTCTTCAAGCTGGCGAGACAGCTCACCTAGAATCATTTGAGAAAAATATTACATATAGCATGGAAAAACACTACATTTAATAGACACATCATAGTGCATGTAGTATTTCTTCACTCTTCTAAATACTCTTACTATACCATTGGTTTTCTAAATTATTTTAATGGCTTCTATTTTATACAGTATATCCAGAGGATACACCTAATTATATTGTGACATTTATTACTTATTACATGATTACAGTAATTAACCTACCAGACTCAGTCTGCAGACGAGCCTTCTGGGTACTGAGGTCATTAAGCAAGCGCATATGTTCATCGTCCTTTGACTTAACTTCGCTCAGTTGGTCCTCAAGCACACGGTTAACTTTCTCAAGGTTGGCCTGCAAAACAGCATTTCATTTAATTCCAGATTAGGGATTAAAAAAGAATATGAAACATGTATATTTTGGAAGAAATTACCTACCTTAGCTTTAGAGACGCTCTCCAGGTTGCTGGCAAGGTCATCAATTTCCATCTTCAGCTCACTCTTCTCTTTCTCCAGCTTCTGCTTAACGCGCTGCAGGTTGTCAATCTGTTCTCCAAGCTCAGCAACACTATCAGCATGCTTCTTGCGCAGAGCAGAAGCGGTGGCTTCATGTTGAAGAGTAGCTTCTTCCAGGTCACGTCTCAGTTTCTGGAATTCAGCTTCACGCTTCTTGTTCAGCTCAATCTGGGAAGATGTTGCACCGCCAGCTTCCTCAAGTCTTTCACTGATTTCTTCAAGTTCTCTGGAGAGATCAGCTCTCTGTTTCTCAACCTTGGCACGTGCTGCCCTCTCAGCTTCAATTTCCTCTTCAAGTTCTTCAATGCGAGCCTATATAGAGCAGGTGATAATTATAGGGATTTAATTATTAATAGTTAAATATTGATAAATAAATCTGTAGGATAATAGGATCCTGTAATCTGTTGCGTTACCTGCAGTTCCTTTATCTTCTTCTGCAGTTGAGATCCAAGTGATTGTTCATCCTCAATCTTGCCCTGGAGTTGACTGATTTCAAACTCCTTCCTGTGAATCAAGATCAATACAAGTTACAATTGTTGCCTTAAATTTTCAGTTTTCCTTTTGAAAAAAGTAGAGCAGTCCTTACTTTTTCAGTTTTTCATCAGTTTGCTGCTTATCATTTTCAAGATCCATGACGCTTTCTTGGGATAGTTTCAGGTCACCTTCCAGCTTTCTCTTGGACCTCTCCAGGTCGAGACGGAGTTTCTTCTCTTGTTCCAGAGAACCTTCCAGCTACATGTACATGCATATATTTTAATAATTTGGTACTTTTTAAATAAAACAAGATTTCTATTAGAAATGCTATTTTAATACTCACATCATCTACTTGCTGTTCCAGCTTGGTCTTTGCTTTGGTCAAGGAGCTGACTTTGTCTTCCTCAGCTTGAAGGTCATCAAGAGTTTGCTGATGAGCCTCCTGAAGAGCTTTCTTTTCCTTGGCGAGTTTGGAGACATTTTCATCAAGAGATGCCAATTCTTCAGTAAGATTTTTAACCTGTAATTACGGGAACAAAGATTAACATACAAAATTCTACTGTATTAGGAAGTGTATTTTGTATTAGTGAATGGACCTTGAAAGTCCCTTTTCTGTTGCTTATACCTTATTTTCTGTTGCATGTTTTTCTTTTTCTACTTTTGCCAGAGTGAGTTCCAGGTCATCGATGTCTTTCTTCAGCTCTGAGCATTCATCTTCTAGTTTCCTTTTCTTGCTGTCAGTTCAGCATTGCTTTCTTCTTCATCTTCAAGTCTTTCATTCAGCTCCTTGACCTTTGATTCCAGTTGAATCTTGTTATCTTGATGAGACCTTCACATCTCTCCTCAGCATCAGCCAGAGTCTCAGATTCCTGTTGAAAATAATTTTCTTTTAGCAACTGAGAATTTTTAGATGGATACCAATAGATATAACTAGAAATTTTTTTTCTAGAAACAGTTTGTTGCTATGTAATTCTACCTACCGATTGGACTTGGAGCACTTAAGTCGTTCTTCTCCTGCATGGAAACCATTTTCTCCTCTAGTTCTTTCTTCTTGGCTCTGCCTTGACCAGAGCTTCCTGGGTCTTTTCAAACTCCTCTTTCATATTTGCCATCTCCTTCTCAGTTTCTCAGCACTCTTCAGGAGAGGCTTAATCTTGAAGTACAGTTTCATCCATGGCCAGTGTTTGACATTCATGAATGATCTGACATTGTACTGGATGACAAAGATGGCTTCCCTGTTTAGGAAATAGTTATAATTCTCAGTTGTTTTTTTGCATTCCTAATGAAGGTGGATCGGTGCTGCATTCAATGAAGTACATGATAAATGTTACCTTCTTTCCGTCATCTTCTTGAATTCAACTCTCATCAAGAATCCTCTACAGAGGGCCTGAGTATGAGTGATAAGTTCAGCCAACTTTTCATCTCTCATCTCTTCCAGGGTACCCAGGAGACCAGCTTTGAAGAATACCTTTAGAAAAAAAAAAATACTCATTTTAAATAAAAAAAATTTTAAACTGTTTGATCTACCATTTTCTTGGAGTGGCTACTTCCAAACCTTGGTGTGGCCAAATTTGTACTGAGTGTGGTCAACATCAATAGAGCCCAAGAGTTTCTCTGATGCCTTCTTGCTGTCAATAAACTGACCCTCTGGGATTGCACTGGCATTCAGGACCTTGTAACTTTAGTAAAAAGAACAGTTTGGTATAGTTAATGTTCATTCTCAAAGTGTATAATAAATGATATATATCTAAATAACTAAAACTTTCCATTTAACTCCCAAATCTAATGGCATTATCCACCCTTAATGATCCAACATTATAAGATATACAAGTATGTTTACAATGTGCATGAAAATTTACCGTTGCTTAAAGTCACCATAAATAATTCTGCTGGGGAATCCCTTTCTACAGATTCTGATACCTTCCAATACACCATTACATCTCAGTTGGTGAATGATTAGGTGGTTATCCATGATACCTGTCAATCAATAAAGAGATATCTTAAATGTCAGCAGTGACCACAACAACAATAGTGCCTTTTAATGTTTGGTGCTTGCAGCATGAAAAGGATAATAAAATTGTACCTGGAGTTTTAGTCTCATTGGGGATCAGACAACGCACAAAATGAGGGTGAGTGCTTTTCAAGTTGGTCATCAGCTTGCTCAAGTTTTCCTATAACACACACATTATAAATGAAGATTTACATACCGTATTTTCCGGCGTATAAGACGACTTTTTGACCCTTGAAAATCTTCTCAAAAGTCGGGGGTGGTCTTATATCCCGGTATACGTCAGGGCGGCACTCTTTAGGGGGGTGGCGCGGTGCCGCCACCGTCCCCCCCTTCCGACGGAAGGGACACTAAGTACAGGGGCCACTCCCTCACTCCTGCCGCTCGGCTCCGCCTCCTCACCAGTGATTGGCCGCCAGAACTGTAGCTCAGGAAAGGCACACAGGTGGCCAATCACAGGCGAGGAAGCGGAGCCGAGCCGACCCGCGAAAATCGAGTGAGGGAGAAGCCGGTAAGTGTGCAGTACAGAGGTGCTGCTGCAACCACATATGCTGGCTGCAGCAGTACCATACTGGAACAGAAGTAAGCAAGTGTCATTGGTGTCAGTGGGAGGAATAGTGCCCCATCATTGGTGTCACTGATACTAATGATGGGCATTATTCCTGCCATTGACACCAATGATGGGGCACTATTCCTCCCACTGACACCAACGATGGGGCACTATTCCTCCCACTGACACCAACGATGGGGCACTATTCCTCCCACTGATACCAATGATAGGGCACTATTCCTCCCACTGATACCAATGATGGAGCACTATTCCTCCCACTGACACCAATGATGGGGCACTATTCCTCCAACTGACACCAATGATGGGGCACTATTCCTCCCACTGACACCAACGATGGGGCACTATTCCTCTCCCCACTGACGGGGTACTATTTCTCCCACTGACACCAATGTTGGGACACTATTCCTCCCACTGACACCAATGATGGGACACTATTCCTCCCACTGACACCAATGATGGGGCACTATTCCTCCCACTGACACCAATGATGGGGCACTATTCCTCCCACTGACACCAATGATGGGGCACTATTCCTCCCCTGACACTGATGGGGCACTATTCCTCCCACTGACACCAATGTTGGGGCACTATTCCTCCCACTGACACCAATGATGGGGTACTATTCCTCCCACTGACACCAATGATGGGGCGCTATTCCTCCCACTGACACCAATGATGGGGCACTATTCCTCCCACTGACACCAATGATGGGGCACTATTCCTCCCACTGACACCAATGATGGGGCGCTATTCCTCCCACTGACACCAATGATGGGGCGCTATTCCTCCCACTGACACCAATGATGGGGCGCTATTCCTCCCACTGACACCAATGATGGGGCACGCTATTCTCCCACTGACACCAATGATGGGGTGCTATTCCTCCTACTGACACCAATGATGGGGCACGATTCCTCCCACTGACACCAATGATGGGACACTATTCCTCCCACTGACACCAATGATGGGGCACGCTATTCTTCCACTGACACCAATGATGGGGCGCTATTCCTCCCACTGACACCAATGATGGGGCACGCTATTCGTCCCACTGACACCAATGATGGGGTGCTATTCCTCCCACTGACACCAATGATGGGGCACGATTCCTTCCACTGACACCAATGATGGGGTGCTATTCCTCCCACTGACACCAATGATGGGGCACGATTCGTTCCCACTGACACCAATGATGGGGTGCTATTCCTCCCACTGACACCAATGATGGGGCACGATTCTTCCCACTGACACCAATGATGGGTGCTATTCCTTCTCTGACACCAATGATGGGGCACTATTCGTTGCTCCCACTGACACCAATGATGGGGCACTATTCTTTGCTCTGACACCAATGATGGGGCATGATTCCTCGCTCTGACACCAATGATGGGGCACTATTCCTCCCACTGACACCAATGATGGGGCACGATTCTTTGCTCTGACACCAATGATGGGGCACTATTCCCCACTGATACCAATGATGGGGCACTATTCCCTCCCACTGACACCAATGATGGGGCACTATTCCTCCCCTGATCCCAATGATGGGGCACTATTAGTCCCCCTGATACCAATGATGGGGCACTATTCCTCCCACTGACACCAATGATGGGGCACATTCCTCCCCTCTGATCCCAATGATGGGGCACGATTCCTCACTCTGACACCAATGATGGGGCACTATTCCTCCCTCTGACACCAATGATGGGGCACGATTCCTCACCCTGACACCAATGATGGGGCACGATTCTCGCTCTGACACCAATGATGGGGCACGATTCCTCCCTCTGACACCAATGATGGGGCACTATTCCTCACTCTGACACTGATGGGGCACCATCATTGGTGTCAATGGGAGCCTCATCATTGGTGTCAGTGGGAGGAATAGTGCCCCATCATTGGTGTCACTGACACTAATTGGTGGAGCGAGGAATCGTGCCCCATCATTGGTGTCAGAGCGAGGAATCGTGCCCCATCATTGGAATACCCTACCATATTGAAATCAAATCTGATGTTTTTTAATTTTTATTTGGTGTGTGTTGGAAGAGGGGTAGTCTTATACGGCGAGTATAGCCCAAACCCTGTATTTTAACAGGAAAAGTAGGGGGTCGTCTTATACGCCCAGTCGTCTTATACGCCGGAAAATACGGTACATGTTAGAATAATATAGCTATGGTAGAGATGATGTAAGACTTCATGCAGATTAAAAGGTCATACTAACTCTAAACAGAGCAGACACAGTCTGGAAGGAGGATCCCTTCTTCTTCTTTCCACCTTTGCCACCGCTGCCAGCATCTGTTAATAAAACATAATGGGAGAGTCATCACAGATCTTAATCTAAATGTAAAAGTAAAAAAAAAAAAATTAAAATAAGAAAGGAACAGGCAAGCTACTCACCATCAGTAGCATTGTAGCTGGAGTACAGGAAGGACAGCAGTTTCATTGAAGATTTCTGGTACAGCTGGATAACAGATTCATTCAGTGGATCCTTATTCTTGTCCAGCCAGCCGCTGATGTTGTAATCCACAGTACCAGCATAGTGTACAAGGGAGAAATGAGCCTCAGCTTTTCCTTTGCCAGGTTTGGGCTTCTCAAAGTTCTTGCACTTGCCAAGATGCTGCTCATACAGCTTGTTCTTGAAGGATGTGTCAGTGGCCTTGGGGAACATGCACTCCTCTTCAAGGATGGAGAAGATGCCCATAGGCTGATAACAAACAATAGGTGTTACTCTGTAACAACACATAATTCTACAATTTTTGTTTCATAATAACATTTACATATGTGAAATTACCTTCTCAATAAGCTCAATGCAGGCAGCCAAGTCCATACCAAAGTCAATGAACTCCCAGTCAATACCTTCCTTCTTGTATTCTTCTTGCTCAAGGACAAACATGTGGTGGTTGAAGAACTGCTGCAACTTCTCATTGGTGAAGTTGATACAGAGCTGTTCCAAGCTGTTGTACTGTATGTAAAAGAAAGAAATGAGAACAGGTCGTTGCTTTGAAAGGCATACAAAGCTAGAACTGTTCAAGAACTTACATCAAAGATTTCAAATCCAGCAATATCCAGCACACCAATAAAGAACTGTCTTGGCTGCTTGGTGTCGAGCTGCTGGTTGATACGGGTGACCATCCACAAGAAGAGTTTCTCAAAGACTGACTTAGTAAGAGCACCAACAGAGTTGTTAACCTAAGGAGGAGAGCAAAGCCATTTGTAAATATAATATAAAAACATAGTTTTCTTTGATTATGTGGATATTTTGTTTTCTTGTTTTTATCTTACCTGAGGCACAGTTTGTCCCTTGGTGACAAACTCATTGCCGACCTTTACTCTGGGGTAGCACAAGCCCTTCAGCAAATCAGCGGAGTTCAGGCCCATCAAATAAGCAATCTTGTCAGCAACTGCAGATAAGACATATAGTATGAACTAAATCCTAAAATGGGATAGATGGAAAAAAAATTCATAAAATAAATTGAAAAACCAAAGACAAACCCTCAGTTCCGTCTGGCTCGGCCTGCTCCTCCCTCTGCTTCTGCTTGAACTTCATATTGCCGTGATGCATGACAGCACCAGTCAGCTTGTAGATGCTGATCTTTTCTTCTGGGGTGAATCCCAGGATGTCAATAGCAGTCTGTTGGAAAAATAGCTCTGGTTATTCGCTGCCTTTTTAGCACCTTCATAAACCTGCAGAAATTTAAGAAAACTGAAAAAAGTTTTTTTCTATTCAAGATTTCAACTACTTACATCTGTGGCAATCAATTCCTCTTCATCATTGATACTCTTCACAACGATTTCACCTTGGCTGATTGAGGGGTAGTCGTATGGGTTAGTGGTCACAAGAAGCATCTCTGAACACAAACATTGTAAAAAATGTTAAGGACTACATTATAATTACATGTGCTTATGGTTTACAGGTCTCATTTCTGTGCTCTTCATGTGAGAGAAAATATGAGCATACCTACAACCTCGGGTTTCTTGTTTGTCAAGATCTGGTAGAAGATGTGATAGCTTCTTTCAGCTGACAACTGAAATGTTACTCTGGACTTCTCCAGCAGATCTATAAAATTGCATAGTAGTAGTTAAATGAACATATGTGAGAAACTACAAAATGAGAAAAACTTAGAGGGTTTCGTTCTTACATGTTTCGATATCAGCTGAAGACAGTTTTCCAGTGGTACCAAAGTGGATTCTGATGAATTTACCCTAAACATGAGAAGAAATGATTAGAAAGGCATTCATGTAGTATCCTAGATTTATCTGAGATCCCCAGAAATTAGTAACTAATGAACCTATAGATCTCTTGAATACCTACAAAACGAGAGGAGTTGTCATTTCTCAAAGTCTTGGCATTACCGAAGGCTTCCAGTAGAGGGTTAGCCTGGATGATCTGATC